CAGTTCCTTCCTGTTGCTACCCATTGGGGGTGAATCTGTTGTCCCCCTCTGGCAAGATGTTCTGCTCCTGGACTAGCTGGGTGGTTCTGTCCCCTACACTCTCTGCAGGTATTGCAGCTGCAGGGCTTCACCCCAGGCCTGTATGCCAGGCCTGAGCTGAGTCTGGAGGGGACAAGGTGGAGTAGGGGAGAGAGGCAGCTCTCCCACATACTCACTGGGCCTGGAGTAGGACTGGATCTAGGGGTTCCCAGAACGCGACATAAATTCGTACTCTGTGGGCGGTGTGTAGGGGGGTACTATGGAGTGATGGGGTGCGTCCCAAGAGGATGTCAGTCACCCTGTGCCTGGGCTGGGAGCAGTAGGTCCCACTGGCCCAGGGTAGCTGGAAGCTCTCCCACATACTCAAGGGCCTGGGTTAGGACTGGGTCTGGGAGTTCCCGGAACGTGGCAGAAATTCCTACACGGTGGGCAGGGTGGGGGAGGTGCTGCAGAGTGGTGGGGGGCGTCTCAAGGGGGTCTACAGTATATATTTTAAATGAACATTTTTGTTTAGCAATAAAATGTTTTTGATTTTTCTTTCTCTTTGTTTTTTTTTTTTTCCTCCACGAGCACTTTTAATTGATCAAAATCAAAACTGACCACTGTTTAGAAATGCTTGTTAACTTTCCAAATTATTGTAGGCATTATTTATTCTAATAATTTATAATACCCAAAGCAATTCATTCTTTGTAGATAGCCCCAATATATTTTCTTGTTTTGCTCATAGTTTTTAATTACATTTTTTGAAAAGTACAATAAATAATATAGGACACTCCCATAAGATAGCTCTTGAATTTTTAAGAGCCTCAAAATTCCCTACTTCTGTGTGCTTTCCCTGAAAAAGTGAATGCAGCTCAATTATTTAATATTTGCTTCAATTTAATTTTTTAATAATGAAACTAAATAATAAAGCTATTGTTTAATTACCTTAATTAGTTAACTTGATAAGCAAATTATTTCTGTAGGTAAAGTGCCCAGCTTTTCTATCCTCATTTCTCACCCTCTCAGGAAGCAGCATTGCATTCTCTCTGGAGTGCAGCCAACACTCATTTTGCCTACTTTTATTGTGTACAGTTGGATCTATAAGTGATATATAGTGATATACAGTATTGTTTTGTGGACTTTAAATTTTTCTAGGGGCCGGCCAAATAGCTCAGTGGATTAAAGTG